AATAAAGATTTAATCAAGTTTCTTAATGAGCTTCTTATTTAGTCTGTTTATTAGGTTTAATTGATATTGTTCATGAACAAAACGAGTCGAGCACATAGTTCAAATTTGTTTATTTAACAGTGAGGTATTTTAAAATTTATTCAAACTAGTTTGATTACTTAAACAAACAATCACTAACAAGCTGTAATCGAGCCGAGCTATGAGTAATTTTTCAAATGATATGTTCATTTATAGCCCTACCAGTCAGGTGATTTTAGTAGCAAAATTTTTTCTAATATTAAATTAAAAAAAATTGTAAATAATAAAAAATTACATTAAAAAAACTGTTTCAAAAAATTTTTATCTAAAAAACTGTTGCAAAAAACAGTAAAAAACTGTTGCAAATAAAATCTTGAGAATAAATCCAAGAGCTATTAAATCCATTTATTTAGCCTATACTCTTTTTTTTTTTCCTTGAAAAAATATAACGGTGGAGGAGAGTGTAGGTGAAGTCCCACTGCTAATGTTGCAAGAAAGCGACAGAAGAAGACAAATGTAGAAGGAGCACATGTAATAATAATAATCCCATAATCTTTTCGCCCGATTTGAGCAAAACTCATTATTTCTCTCTGGTTCTTTCTCTTTAATTTTCTTCCTCATTTTTTTAAATATTTTGTTGCAGTTACCACTTCCCATGAAAATTAGACACCTTCCTGACTCTAATCAGGTGAGGACATCTGAATTCTTTTCTCTCGTATATATAAAGTGTATATAAGGGCAAATTATTATGTCCGGTCACCTGACATGCAGACATTCAATCCGAATATGCCGCCTCACCCGAATGCACTGGGTCCCGATATTTTTGAGTGACGTGGCGCTTTTTTATTGGTGTCCGGACTAATCCGGACACCAGACAACATTTTGCCGGATATAAGAGAGAAAATTAAGGTGTAGTCCATATGAAAAGTTACATCCGGAATATGCAAATAATAATTTCTCCATCAGATGAGAAATTATTATGTTCGGTCACCTGACTGTCTGCAGGTGAATCAGGATACGCTAAGTCGCCCAGTACATAATATCACGGTAGAGAGTAAAATGGTGAGGTGGTGCATTCTGATATATCTCCAACGGCATCCAGTGACCGCACATAATAATTTCTCCCCTCCCATGGAAATCCCATGGCCTTTCTCTTTCTGTATATATTTGACATAAAATCACACTGATTTGAACATTAGGATAATATCTTTACTCAAATTTTGCGCCTGAAAAAAATTTATCAGTCATTGATGACAAAAGATATGAATTTTTTTTGTGGGACGCGCGGTGCAGCTTCATGGTTGAGCGCAGTGCGGTTGCCTTCAGCAGGTCCGTTCGATTCCCCATACCAGCCCAAAAAAAAATTTGTGATTGTTGCCGCATCAGAGGCTCCATCCATGAATTGTCGAGACCGAAAAAAACGAAAAAAAAAAAAAAAAAAGAGGCACCAAAAAAAAAAGAGGCACCATCCATGAATTGTCTTATGTTGAAATATTTATTTTTGGTTGTGAAAAAATAATTTTTTAACATAAAATTTTATTGGAATTTTCTTCCTCTGCATTTTTTATTTTGAATTATCCTTGTGGCTATGCTGATTATTAAAAATTATCATAATATTTGTTGAGATGTTCACATTTGTGTAGAGCTGCTTTGCAAAAAAATTTTAAAAGGGAAATTTACAAACATATCACTTTATAACATCCTATTTACATATCTAACACCTAGAACTTTAATATTACATGCATACCACCCTATATTATGTTAATATCAAATATACCACTTATATTTCTTTCCTACTACTCATATATTTCATTTCTACCACTCATATTTGGTATAAAAATGAACTATGGGTGGTGTGTATGTAATATTAAAGTTTTAGGTGTTAAATATGTAAATAAAATAGTATTAAGTGGTATGTATGTAAATCTCCCTTTTTAAAAATATCCTCCCTATTTTTGCAAATTTAGAATTGGTTTGGCAAAGCTTTTTTTTTTTATTGTTTCTTAAATCAGCTTTTTAGTAGAAAATTTTTTATTTTGTACTAAAAAATGCTTTAAGAAGTAATAATAAAGTCGCCCCAAATGAAGCCTTAAACTAATAACAACACTTTAAATTGGTTTATACTTAGGTTTTGTTTGAAACATATTTCTTATTGCTTTACTCTTCTGACTTTAACCATAATTTATATTTGACTGCTATTATTTTGGTGCGTTCAAAAAAATTTTATAAAAAAAAAAAACTGTTTTATGCAATTAATATCTTTCTAAAATTATTTTTTCTACGGCAACTTTATAATATAATAAAAACTATCTCAAACGAAGTCTTAATTAGCTTTTACATACGTTTTAAACTAATTTAGTTATTATAAAAAAATACTATAATTCTTATTCAAAATTGAAAGAAAGTGTATATATATTTGAAATAACTCAAAATTTTACTTCAAACTGATCACCACTATGCAAGGAGAATAAAATGCAATGCACTCCTAATAGGCTAATACTTCTACTTAACCTGGCCTTTAATTTAGTTGGCAAATCATATTACAAGCAGAAAATCTTTGAGTAATCACAGGAAGATATTGATCGAGTTATTGATAGTTTACCCGCTAGCTTTCTTGAAATTTGGCCTTTATTGAACTTGTTAACGAATATATTGTTGGGATGAAGAGGAGAAAACATCACAACGATGAAACAAGAAAGTAAAAGTTGCGGAAAAATAAAGGACACCAGGATTTAACATGCAAAATTCAAAATAGAGCAAAAACAATGGAGCCACACTGCACCAAAAAATTCACTATGAAAATTCAGAGAAATAAGTACAATTCTCTATTCTTTCTAACTCTCTCCTTCATTTCTCACATATGCTGTTCTCAATGCCTAACCCTCTCAAAATACAAGAGAAAGCCAAGTAAGTAACTCCAACGGATGCAACCTTTCAGAAAAAAGAGAACAATACTTATTTAGTGTGAGAAAGAAAGTGTAGCGTTCATAAGAGACACCAGAGTTTTTACGTGGAAACCCCTGAAAAGGCCTCAGGTGGTGGCCCGGCAAAAGTCCAGGTGTCATATGGTGGTCTGAGAGAAGTTCGGGCCTCAAGTGATGGTCCATCATAACTCAGGGCCTCAAGTGGTGATCCGGCGAAGCTCAGGGCCTCAGGTGGTGGTCTGGTGGAGCAACGACGTCAGACAATGGTACGACGGAGGTGAGGGCCTTAAGTGGTGGTCTGGTGGAGTTAGAGCCTCAAGTGGTGGTCTGATTGAGCTCAGGGCCTCAGGTGGTGCTCTGGCAGAGTAATGACATCAGATGATGGTCCGACGAAGTTGAGGGCCTTAAGTGGTGGTTTGGTAGAGCTCAGGGCCTCAAGTGTTGGTTCGGTGGAGCTCTGAGCCTCAAGTAGTGGTCCGGTGGAGCAACGACATCAGATGATGGTCCGGTAGAGGTAAGGGCCTTAAGTGGTGGTCCGACGGAGCTCAGGGCCTCAAGTTGTGTACCGGCGGAGCTCAGAGCCTCAAATGGTGGTCCGACGGAGATGAGGGCCTTAAGTGGTGGTTCGACAAAGCTCAGGACCACAAGTGGTGGTCTAATGGAGCTCGGGATCATGTGGTGGTCTGGTGGACCAACGACGTTAGGCGATGGTCTAGCGGAGGTGAGGGCCTTAAGTGGTGGTTCGATGGAGCTCAAGGCCTCAAGTGGTGGTCCGGTGGAGCTCAGGTCCTAAGGGGGTGGTCTGGTGGAGCAATGACGTCTAGCGATGGTCTGGCGGAGGTTAGGGCTTGAGGTGGTGTTCTGGTGGATCTCAAGGGCTCAAAGTGGTGGTCCGGCGGAGCTCAAGGCCTCAAGTGATGGACCGGCGAAGCAACGACGTTAGGGGATGGTCCAGCGGATGTGAGGGCATTAAGTCATGGTTCGACGGAGTTCAGGGCCTCAAGTGGTGGTCCGACGAAGCTCAGAGCCTCAAGTAGTAGTATAGCTGAGCAACGACGTTAGGCGATGGTCCGACATATGAGAGAGCCTTAAGTGGTGGTCCGGCGGAGCTCATGGCCTCAAGTGGTGGTTTGGCGGAGCTTAATGCCTCAAGTGGAGGTATAGCGGAGCAACGACGTCAAGCGATGGTACGGCTAAGGTGTCTGATAGATGTTTTGTTCCGCTGCATTTGATGATACATAGTAGCTCTGTGTTTGTTAGTTTGTGTGAATTAATTATTTGGAAGATTCAGTTCCGAACCAAATTCCAAAGCTAGATCCTGGTTAGTGCAGCTCTGTCGCGATCCAGCACGGGCGGGATCCGTCTCGTCTCGGGTCGGGTCGTGACATTAAGTGGTGGTCCAACGGAGCTCAGGGCCTCAAGTAGTGATCCGATAGATCTCAGGGCATCAGGAGTTGGTCCGGCGTAGCTCAGGGCTTGAAGTGTGGTCCGGCGGAGCAACGACGTCAGGCTGTGGTCCGGCAGAACTCCAGCGGTGGTCGAAGAGGAGTGAGGAGAACAGAGCGATCTCTGATCTCTCTCTTATTTTATTCTTTCTTGGGGCCCCCTTTCAAGAGAAATGACGGGTACATTTATAGTTTTCTGGAGTGGCATGGCCCGTAAATAGGTGAGAGATCAAGGATAAATGGGGAGTGGTTGGATGGGCGGCCAATGTTGAATCCCTTGATCATGGACCATTTGATGGACATTTGAATGTCTTAATGATGTCAGAATTCGGTGATCTTGGGCTCGTTGGATTTGTCTCATCGAGCAGCTTGATTCGATTATAAGCACGTTATGTTTGGAAACCATTTGAAAATCCAAATTGTGGTTTGAACCTTCCAATAGTGCTTCTAACCTTGATTTGGACCCGTTTGGGCTCGGATTGGGTTGGATTTGGTGTCGTTGGGTTCGTATTCTTGAGACGCTCAGTTCGACTATAAGTTTGCTGAAATCAAATTTCAGATTATCCCAATTTTAATTTTGGAAGTTTCCAACTTGATTTTGCTTCGAGATTCATGCCTGATCAAGATAATTTTTCGAGAACGTATCAACTCTAAAACTAAGCTTTATTTAATGTATTAATATGAGCATATTTGTGGCTTATTTCTTATTAGTTTTGTTTTGAATTTGATTGTCTTGATCAATCAGATTGTATTATTGTTTTGGTCCTCAATTCTATCGATCGAGCTTGTTGGGGATTGTAGGGGGTCCTCCCCTTGCTTGGTTTCATGTGCTTTGCATTTGAATTTTTTTCATACAATGTACAGCGTTATGTACTCGATCGAGCGTTGTGGTGTTGTGTTGTCTGATTGAAGGCAGATAGAAAGCGGAGCATTACGTACCCGAGTGTTATGTACCTGAGGGTATTAGAAGATTGTTATGAAATAAGTAAATACTATTTTCAAAAAATAATAAATCATATTGCCCAAATTGAATTAAGCTTTTTTTATGTTAAATTATCTGAAGTTATAAATCTTACATTAATTCGATTTAGGTTTGCCTAAAAATATTTTAGTAAAACATAAAAGAAATGAGTCGGGTTCGGGTTGATCCAGACCCGAAGCAGGTAGGGTTCAAGTTCGAAAAATCAACCTGTTTTTGCCCTTTTCCTAAAATGGTTAGGGTTTGGGTCGAGTAAAAAAGTGTCGGTTCGATCAGATTCGGGTTCGACTCGAATCCGACTTGAAACCCATTTTTAACAGCCCTAAAAAAAGGAATAAGTGGTGGAGAAAAAACTATATAATTATAATGGTCCTGCATATGAGTAGTCGAGAAACAACTTAAACGGTATACTTGTCCTACCGTATATATGTATATGATGCTCTGCATCTGCAGCGTTGCAAGACGAGTTGATAATTTTCTTACTTAATTTTCATAAACGGATGCGCCCCATGGTGTTTTTAATGTGTTTCTATTTGTTTGTTCTTGTATGTGAACGGTGCTAGAAAGTAGAGAGAGAGAAAGAGTGTGCGTGTGTGTGTGTGAGCGAGAAGAGAGCTATGCACTATTTCTCCCAAATTTTTATAGTGAACAACTGAGCGTGGTGTGGGTCCGTGGTTATTTCTCAGTTTTTTGTTTTTTTTTTCTTTCTTATTTGTGTTCATTGTGCAATTTACTCCCCCAACATTTTCTCCATTGGACTCGTAATGATTTAGTTGCCCAATTTAAAACTTTTTATGGTAATTGCTTTTTTGATACTTTTATATCGTGCTTTTATGTTAATACCTCTACATTTAAAGCTTAACATCCTGCCTTCTATGCATATTTGCTGGCTGAAAATTATATAGTGAGCATATCAGGGGGGTTTCAGTTGAGCTAAGTGTTCTAAGTTTGCTCTTTTGTTTATGCCTTCGTTTGAAACAGTTTTAGACCAATATCTTTTTTTCCTATTTTTAAGATATTTTTTATTTAAAAAATAAGAAAACCATTCCAAAGGAAGCATATGGCATTATGGATCGCCCGGATAAGAGCAAAAACGTCTTGCTGTATATGTAAATAGTCATTGAAGCCCTATCTTTCATTTTTCAGTTGGATTCTTGATGTAGAGTACTAAACTATCTTATTACTTCATGTTACATCTTTTCCTTTTTCTGTTACCATAGTACAAAGGTGAAAGGATATATATATATATATATATATATATATATATATTCTATCTTATTTATGTCCATATATTCATATAGAATTTATTTTCTTACAACTCTGGTGCCAAGAACACTTGGCGACCTCACCCTCCACCTCCGGCAGATGCAGAAACACCTACTGAACAATCTTTTGACACGTGTGCTCACACGTGTTCGCAGTTCTACGCATCCTCCGCAACGGTAACTTGCCCACACCGTACATATCTCACCATCCCACTAGTTATTTTTCCGGCAACCATCCCAGTAGTTATTTTGACGCCCATTAAGAAGGCGAGGAGTAAAGCGGCAAAACCCAAACAATGGCTCCGAAGCGCTCCAAGAAGGTAGTCGGCACTGTAGTGAAGACCACTAGGAAGCTCGTAAAGGAGACTGTCGAGGTCGACGTCGACATAGTAGACGGCGAGGAGCAACAGAAGGTCCCTGAGATAGTCGTGGTGGAGAAAGGCGACGTTGGAGTGCCAGTCGTTGTCGTCCTTCCCACTGTAAAAACCAGTAAAGAACAGGAAAAGAAGACTGAAGACAGAGAAGAAACTAAAGAGGACAAGACAGAGGAGAAGAAGAGGAAGAAGAGGAAGAAGAAAAGAGGGATCAATGTAGGTGTGGCAAGCAGCGGTTACAAGAGGTATGTGTTCAGAGTGTTGAAGCAGGTGCATCCAGGAATGAGGGTGTCAGCGCAAGCTATGTCGGTGCTTGAAGGGATGATGCGAGATATGTTCGAGAGGATTGCAGAGGAGGCGGCGCAGCTGAACAAGTATACCGGTAAGGTGACATTATCGTCGAAGGAGATACAGGATGCTGTGCGTCTCATAATGCCTGGTGAGCTCGGCAAGCACGCCATTGCTGAGGGGGTGAAGGCTGTCACAACCTACATGGAAAAATGAGGAGGAATAGAAGGGATGGGAGAATGGCTTTAGATGGCCATGTAACTTGGTTTTATATAGTTCTTTTGCAGGATCTCGGGCAAGAAAAAAGACTTTTATACTGTTCAGTGTTGCCTGTAATTTTACTTTTGTAATGTGTTTTGTATGTTATAGTTATGTTTTGTTAAATCTGTGTAGAATGTTTTGGGGCAATGGGATTTTTGTGCACTGCAACCTGCAAGCATGTACTATGGACTATTTTTGTTAAAGAAGCTGTGAACTGTAATGAAGAGTAATATTAGTTTTACTTGACAAATTTTAATTTAAACTAACAATAGACGTTTGTTTTGTTACAGTTTCATCCCAAACAGGAATGAGATTTCCCGCACCTTTTTCAGTTTTGAACTGCAGCTTCAGATGCTATTAGGTAATCTTAGAGGAGAAGAATATATTTCATATAGATAATAATAGAGAAGACCAATAAAGATATGCTAATCTTGTCATCTAACATACAAGAGCCTGCTCAAATGTAATATTTTATTTCTACCTCTACAAAAACTGCAAAAATTCCTAAGGAAACCTCACCAGCAGGAATAGAACAGCTCATGCACGCTGTTGGCTTCTATCCTGCAGAGTATTCTTATCCTTTCCGAGTTCATCTTCTTGTGATTTGAGAGAGTCGCTAAAGAAGCTAGCTTATTGTCCTTCAATGATGTCTGATCTTTGCTGTTTCAGCTTCACATGCTTCGCGAGAAAGTAGTGTTTTGAAAGGGTCGCTAAGGAAGACTCTTCACGTCCTTTGACAAACGGCAACATAGGATCGAAACAAGAGGAGCTCTCACATTGCAAATGTAACCATTTTTCTCCCCTCTCAATTTCTTAGGCCAAATTCCTAAAATCTGCTGTACGCCTGAATTTAATAAATTCAGGATTTACGATAAAAAATAGGATAACTGTGAATTTATTTCATCGTGAGATATAAGAAATCTCAAATTCCGTTTCAGGATTTAGCATAAATTCTGCTCAAATCCATTATCCAAACAGCCTCTTCATTTTTCTCCATTAAATTGTTTGGAATAAAAGCAGCTTATCTTCTATATATTTTTTTTTGGGTAAGCTTATCTTCTATATCTCTCCAGCGATTTCATTCATCTTCTTCGATGTTAGTGCTGTATTCCTGAAAGTTCTGAAGCCTTCTGAGCTTTGACATGAAAGGTCAATCGACTGTAAGGCTTGAGCATTGAATGTCAATATGTCATGATAGTTTTATCTTCTTTTGTCATCTAGCAGAACCAGAGGGATCAAGTTGGGCCTGAACACAGTTTTTAACCTTAAGTTCAACCCAGAAAAATCAAATCTTGGAGATATGAGCCAACTATCTTATATGCATATTTTGCAATTATTTATGCGGGTTATCAAATATTTCTCACATGAAAAATTCTCGCTGAAGAAAATCTTCCCAAAAACTGATTAAAGTGCTGTACAGTTGAAGTTAAAGGCACCAAAAAGCCCCCACGGCCGCCGTAATGTTTGTGGAATTGATCTTTAAGGATAATTTTTTTATTTCATTATTTTTACTGTTATAATAATTTCAGTTGGCTGTTTTTTTTTTTTAATTTTGAAGATATAAAAGTTATTTTTTATAATTAGATTCAGTAAACTGTAGCATCTATAAGAAATTGACTATCTATTTTTCTTAAATATATTTGTAACATCTACAGTAGTTATAGTGAAAAGCAATATAAAGTCTAAATATGATGATGGTCAGTGGCCCGATTGATGATGGTGGTGGCTGACAGTGGTGGTTGGCCATGGTAGCTAGTGATAGTTGTGGTGAAAAGAGGTGGTAGGGTTTTGCAGCGAAGGTAGCAAGATGACCAATGGTAATTGTGGCCATTGTTGATGGTGGAGACCGACAGCAATAATATTTTACACTATAAAAATAATACCTTGCACTACATTTCTTATTCATTCTAAAAAATATTAATATTTATTTTTAAAACTCATATAAAATAATATTTTACATGCACTCTATCTCAAATCAAACAACTTAATTGCCTATATTTTTTATTATTCCTCAAGATGGGGCATGAGTTAGAGTGGACTCTTTGGGGTCTAGACCATCTTTAGCTCGTGTTTTAGTTGAGTTTGATATAACCAAATCATACCTTGATAGTGTCTGGTTAGGTTCAGAGAAGCTTGGTTATGTCCAGCAAGTGGTGATGGATGATTTCCCTAAATTTTGTGTTGTTTGTTGTTGTATCAGACATGCTGTGAGTGAATGTCGTCCTAAAGTTGATGTATTGGATTCGGCTGTTTTGCCCCAAAATGTTAAACCTCCTGTTGAGGGGACGAGCACTGTTGCGATGGAGGTGGCTGTTCGAGGGGATTTGCCAACTTTTTCTGTTGCGGGGTTGGAGGAGGCGGACACTGTTGCCCATGCTGCTGCTTCTTTGCCTACTAGGATTGAATCCGTTGATCCGGTAGTGAATGGTGTTTCGCCTGGCTTAGGTGTCCCTCCTTGTATTTCTGTTGATATTGTTGAACCTGTTCTTGTTGAGGATGGTGTGGAACGTTAGGAGGCTAGTCTGGTTAATTTTGTCCAGTTAGACTCTGTTGGCGGTTTGGTGGGAGAGGCCCCTACTGCTCATTTTCCTCGGTTGTGTTTGAGTGAGCTAGCCTGCTGCTGTGAATTGTGTCCTAAATTCAAAACCTAATCTTTCTTGTTCGGGTAGATCTGTCACTAGTAATTTTGTTCCTTCTGTCTCTCCTGGTTCTCCTACTTGTGTCGGGGATTTATTTCTGTTGGGTACCAATGGCCCTATTATTCTTTCATCCTCTATTAATCTGGCCTCTTCTATTCAAGCTGCTAACTCTGTTGTTGATCCTGTGACGCCTACTAGCCTAGTTTCTGGATCTTTTGTGGAGGTTCCTGTTAAGTTTATTTCATCAGAGGCGTTGCTTTCTCAAGTGGCGGTTAACTCGGGAGAGAGAGTGGGATTGCAATTAGATTGGTTACATTGTTCGTATGATTCATCTGATTCTTCTTCTGAGGATAGCGGGGAGGAAGTTCCTGTGGTTAATGTGGCGGGGCTTATTGACAGGCATGTTGTGTCTGTTCGCTCTTGTGGGAGGGGTATAGCGTGGTAGAAAATGATGGGGGGTTTTTGGTGCTGGTGACTGGGGCTTTTGGTTGTGCTCTGGCTGCGGTTTCTTTGAATGATTTTATGTGGTCGTGCCAATTTGCTGGGTGACATTTGAGAATTTCCAAGGCGATTGTTTGTTTATGGGCTATGATGTGGCTATGGCTCATTTCCCGGAAGTCGTGGCTCTTGGCAACCTTTGGTGGTGCGTCTGCTGCTCGTGGATGTTTTGTTCGTTAATGCTGGCACTCCATACTAGATGGCCAGTGCCTGGCTTTCTGGGGGGTTTGAAGCCTCTGCATACTACTGAGCCCGACGGGTTGATAACCCTGACATTCTCTGTAACTTTCTTCGTTTTGTTTTCCTTGTTGGTTGTTCTCTTTTTCTATTGGAATTCCTGGGTTGTGTTTGAGTGAGCCTGCTGCTGTGAATTGTGTCCTCAATTCAAAACCTAATATTTCTTGTTCGGGTAGATCTGTCACTAGTAATTTTGTGCCTTCAGTCTCCTGGTTCTCCTACTTGTGCTGGGGATTTATTTCTGTTGGGTACCAATGGCCCTATTATTCTTTCATCCTCTATTAATCTGGCCTCTTCTATTCAAGCTGCTAACTCTGTTGTTGATCCTGTGACGCCTACTAGCCTAGTTCCTGGATCTTTTGTGGAGGTTCCTGTTAAGTTTATTTCATCAGAGGCGTTGCTTTCTCAAGTGGCGGTTAACTCGGGAGAGAGAGTGGGATTGCAATTAGATTGGTTACATTGTTCGTATGGTTCATCTGATTCTTCTTCTGAGGATAGCGGGGAGGAAGTTCATGTGGTTAATGTGGCGGGGCTTATTGACAGGCATGTTGTGCCTGTTCGCTCTTGTGGGAGGTGTATAGCGTGGTAGAAAATGATGGGGGGTTTTTGGTGCTGGTGTCTGGGGCTTTTGGTTGTGCTCTGGCTGCGGTTTCTTTGAATGATTTTATGTGGTCGTGCCAATTTGCTGAGTGTCATTTGAGAATTTTCGAGGCGATTGTTTGTTTATGGGCTATGATGTGGCTAGGGCTCATTTCCCGGAAGCTGTGGCTCTTGGCAACCTTTGGTGGTGCGTCTGCTGCTCGTGGTTGTTTTGTTCGTTAATGCTGACACTCCATACTAGATGGCCAGTGCCTGGCTTTCTGGGGGGTTTGAAGCCTCTGTTTACTACTGAGCCCGACGGGTTGATGACCCTGACATTCTCTGTAACTTTCTTCGTTTTGTTTTCCTTGTTGGTTGTTCTCTTTTTCTATTGGAATATAAATTTTGGATTTTTGTTAAAAAAACAATAATAATAAATCTGTATAGGGATAATAAATTAGTGCAATATCATTAAAGATATACAGTAAAAATGAATTCGTAACTTGCAATTCATTAATCACTCTAAACAAGTAATTATTCATGTTAAAGATAATATTTTTCAAAAATAAGTTAATTGTTAATAATTATTGGCTTAGTAAATACAGCTATCGCTTGATCCTCATCCATAGGGACAGTAATAACTCCTTATTACTCTCAATTAATGAATCATGTATGTAGAAACCCACGACCAAGAAGTCGGATATGAAGAAGGAGCGGAACAGAGAAATGAAGGAAATAATCTTGTATTATTCATCTCACACCACAGTACATATGCAGTATATAAATAGGCTAGAGAAAGGAAGAGGTACACATGTAACACAATAATAGGATAGCCTTAGTATAACAGAGTTGAGGATATGAAGTGCTTATAATGTAAATTAATAGATGATAACACTAAACCAAAATTTGTCGGCCTACCATCTCATACAGATCAGACATTCTCCAACCAATGTCAATGAAATCAAATTTTACTTGTCTTCACACATATTATTATTATTGTAT